AACCTTGCAATAGGAGCTGCAGTGGCGGAGCAACAGGAGCCCTGTCTGTGGGTCTGGGAGGGCAGCCAAGGCGTCGAGGAGGGGGGATGCTGCCTCGACTCGAGCTTGCGCGTGTTGGTTGCAAAACGCGGGTCCCCCTACAGCAGCCCCAAGCAAAGTGAACTCTCCACGCCGGCGGACAAAACCGACCGGGAGTCCCCGGAGGTCGGCGCTGCTTGTAGGGCTAGTGATGATGACTTCGGACTTGGCCGGCTCAAGGCAGAGCCCAGCCGCAGCGGCGCGCGCAGTAAGAGCTGCGAGGGCTTGGGCAGCGCACCGGCTGGTGCCAGCCAAGACGACATCATCCAGGAAGGCGAAGCCGAGGTCAAGGGAGGTGGAAGCAGCGGCTTCCGTGAGAGCTGGTTGCAAGGTAAGCGCAAAGAGCACGGGTCCCAGCGGGTCTCCCTGCTGCACACCGCAGCAAAACTGCACGACATGTTCGCCAAAGAGGAGGCGGGACGGCGAGCCATAGCACCAGTCTGCCCAGCACGCAACCTCAGGCAGATGCGCTCGGGCCTCGCGCAGCATGGCAGTGCGGTCAATGGCGTTGAACGCGTTCCCGCGTGCCCGGCATTGCGGTGCAACCACTGTCTGGCAGCGTGGACGCGTTTGAGACCGCCGTTGTTGTCGCCGGCCCCAGCGGCAGACAGTTCGGATGGCCTCAACATTTCTATAACTTTCAGGATGTAAACATCAAAAGCGGCATTTCCTTGTTGTTTTTCCTCAACGTAGAGCTGCGCAAGGGGCAATTTTCAGTTTTGTTGAGTAATGATCCTCAAAATATGAGGCCTCTGCCTTTTTCAGCTCAGAGTTAAATGTCTGAGAAATTTAAGAATCTTTTTTTCGTTTTTGTCTGAATTGCAATTCCTAAAACAAACTAAACGCCTTTTCTTTTTGCTCGGAGTGACGATTCCCATAAAGCAGGCCAAGTCCTGTTTATGTGTTTTAGACCTGAAGCTCTTTAGTTCTGACCAAGGATCCCAAGTCCAGTGCAAAGCAAGGACTCCCGACCAAAAGTCAAAATCCTGACCAAAGGTTGAAAACTTTGACCAGAAGCTGATATTCCTGGTTACAATTCCTGGCCAAAGGGTAGTCACCAAAAAGTTAAAGCTCCAAAGCACAAGGAAGTTTAACTTAAAACACCAAAATGGTTGGCTTTCAAACAAAGCCTAGCAAAAATCCAAGGGTCCAGGGGACACAAGTTTTTCTAAGTGGTGAAACCATTCAGGCTTAGGATAGCCAGGCTCGGCGGCTCTGGTGTTTTGCCTGCTTACATCAAGAGGATGCAGCTGCCAGCTGTCCACCAACTCCGTCGTGCATGAGATGGCTGCGTCAGAGCATTGCTGGAGGAAATTGCACTTGCCGTGATGCTCTGGTGCTGCCAGTGTTGACACTCTGAGCGGCTGGCCTGTGTGTAGTAAAACCTTGCATGCAGGATCAATAGTGTTGCTTGGTTGCCGGCTGAGTACCGCGAAACGTTACCGTGAACATGGTCGCGGTAAGCCAGCTTGTCCCGTCAAACTCGCCAGCACAAATGCAGATCTGATCGCGGAGCAGTAAATCCGGCATGCTCATCGTGCAGTTGAGAGGCTTACCCAAGCAAACTCGGCAAAGCAAGAGTGAGAATACCTCGACATGGCATCAGCTCTTAATATTTGAAGCCGTTCCTTCGAGAGTTTACAAAGATCTTACAGCGAAAGGTATCCATTGGCTCTGTTCGCGCGCGACTTTCCATTACTCAAGTCAATGGCAGAGGTTTCGTTTGGGGCAATGCCATGGCCGGAGCTGATATCTCGCAACATGGCTGCAGAAATAGTTGCCAGCAAGCTTACCCTCTACGGTCTAAATACTGCAGCCAACAGTTTTTTCTTAATATTCCGGACTATAGGTTTAGACTCGCATTGGATTGCAGGAGGCTGGGCAAGATGGGCAGAATTCCAACAAAGCTGCCCCATCGTAGTAGCCACCCGGCTCGTCACTTGCGTACTCATCTGCTTTGGTGCAGTGCCTGGGATGTTTCACATCCGTGGCAGATCTTGACGGCGGCTCAAATACCGCAGAAGAAGTGATGTCTGGCTGGGAGATTTTGTGCCAAGCAAGTTCCACCTGAAGCAGCTCTCTGTTCGAGACGAGGTGCTCTGCAAAGTAAGCTCCGAGACCGTACATGGTGCCTGTGAAGACTCAGGGTGTCAAAGGATGGTGGCGATGGCAGCTTCATCTGACATGTTTTCTTTGTCGATGCTATGGCTTCGAAGCACTCCAGGGATTGTGGATTTGCCTGCCCCTGCCTTGTGTGCGTTCATGGGCACATTTCGATGGACTTGTGAAAGCTGGATCTCATTGGGTTTCAATGGCCTCGACCCCTGCCTTAAGACCTGTGAGATGTCCTTCCTGAAAAAGCCCGTAGAGCCCATCCCGCCTGTGGAGCTGCCGGCGAGGTCTATGCGGAAATCCTTGCAAGCAACGTGGACAGAATCATTCGGCGCGAGCTACACTGCTGTGAGCCGAGGCGCGCTCTGTGCAATTGAGAGCGCCTTTCGGACGTTGGTGCCATGCCAGAGGTACATCTCATTCAACCTGTCATTTCTGAAAGCAACCAGCCTCAACAGCCGGGACCATCTGCTAATCAAGACCACACCAATCTTGCAACTCATTGCAGAGATGGCGTGCTTGACATACAGGCCGATTTAGCAAGGTCCCGCAGGTCAGGTTCAACGTCTCTTTCAAGTGTTTCCACAGTGTTGCGGGAGCAAAATGCTTATCTTCTGAACCTACCTCTACAAGCAATCGTGCAGGTCATGTCATGTGCATGTAGAATGCAAGTACATTGAAAGTTGTGAACGCCTATGAGTCACAAGGTAACCCTGGCCCAGCAGCAGGGCACACGATCTATACAGCGTGCTGCGCTCTAAGTCTTCACTAGTAGGCTTACAAAAAATGAGGAAGCACACGCATGAGCCTGCAACCTGAAAACATCTGCCAGATGCTGCTTCCAGGCCGACAAACCTTCAAATACATGTCCACTGTAATAATTGTAAATCTCAAGTCCAAAGTGCTCGAGATCCAAGGGCTCAAACGTCTGTCCTCAGGCAACTCGATTGACCATGAACGAATGGTCTCAAAGGCTGATACCTACTCTGTCCTTCTGGCTATTGAAAAGCTCGGCAGCAACACTGATTCAGATGTTTTTTTTCTCAAGTTTCTTTTGGGGGTGTTTGGCAATGGTTCTCAGGAATTCCGTAGGCCAAACTGTGCAGGAACTTCGCGCGAGAGAACAATTTCGAGCCAAAATTAAAACACGCAAGCATCTCTACCCACTTCGCGAGAAAAGTAATGCCGGTCCTCCACAAGAGGCGGCCAAAACGCATCAAACAAAGGGAGTTTCTTCATCAAGGCAGGTTGAACCTCAAGAAAAATGAAAGGAGTACACGGAGAAAGCGCCACAAACAAATTAGTAGGGATCATGAACCTTGAGCATCAGGGTCTACAAGGTTGAAAATCAAGATCAACATGTCGATAGGGGCCCACCAGAATTTTGACCAGGGGTAAAGAACAGGCTTTGGAATCTAACAAGGGCTGCTGACGTGAGAAATTCCAGAACCTGGCCTTCCTTAAAAACTACATACGGCATCTTGCGGCAGACGCTAAAACAAGGACGCAGTGAGAACATGTCGCTTTTGCTGAACTTTGTTAGGATTTGGATGGCATGGCGTTAAATTTTTCAATCAGCAAGGCTGGGGGGGGCGCAGCCACCACCCTTCCAGCAAAACATAGGCGAAGATGCGAAATCTGGCTCCCTGCTGAATCTTGATAGGATTTATGCAGGGGGCGTCGGTTGGCAAGGGCGCATCTGTAGCTTTTTGCTAAGTTTTGAAAGAAAGAAGCATGCAGGCTGTTTGCTTTTGAAAATAGTTGAGGTTGAGGTAGAGGCTCATTTGCACAACATGAAGATGAGAACACGTAGCTTGCAAATTTGAAAATCTATGCCAGGTTTGTATTTGCTTTCAGAAGTTTGGCGAACTTGGGTGTGCAGAGCCACCCCCCCGCCCCCCTTGCAAAACGTGAATGGGGACGAGAACGTATAGCAGTGAGCCTTGTTGAGTTTTAATGCGGCTTCCTAGGCTGTCTTTTTTTTGATACAAAAGCTGAAGGGGTTGAGGGAGTGTGGCCCCCACCCCTCAGTTGCACGACATGGGCGAAGATGAGAACACGGATCTTGCCAAGTCTAGATTGGTTGAAATTTCCGGCAAGTTTTATCATTGTTGGTGGGAGAGTTGGTGATTGCCCCAAAATTTCACTGCTTCTCCTCTGGTAGGAATATGTAGGAATTTGGCTAGCAGTGTTGCTTCTTGGCCAGCAGGGCCCACTCTGGGCAAAATAAGCGTGAGCCAAAAGTTTAGGATTTTAAGGGTTTATTTAGTTGAGCTTTAAGGTATCCGCCAACGTTTGAACCTCTACCTGCAAGGGTGTGATGGGGTAAGTGCGGGAAGCTGGCCGAACTGCTTCCCTCTCAACCCTTTGCTCCAGCGGCCTGGGGCTGAGCGGGACAGAGGTTGAGTTGATGTTTGGTGGCTGCCTGTGGGACTTTAATTTTCCTTTGCGCAGCACGAAGAACAAAACCCTGCTTCAGGTAGCTGGGTGCGGGGCGTGTGTGGTGGGTCACTCTATCTATACACATACACATACATGTGTTCTCAACACCTCTCTGGCAAATAACCTGCCGAAGATTGCGCGAAACAGGAACTGCCAGGCAGTGCGCTTTTCTGCGAGCAATGCGACGGCGTTTGGGCGGGGGCGCAGGCCCATCCAGCTGCACTACATGAGGGAAGATGTCGCGTCCACGGGACCATATGGTTCTCCAAAGCTGGAGCCCTCGAAAGGGGTTTGCAGAAATTCTGGTGAGGAGCAATGAAATACGATGAAAAATGCTGAAGCATGGTGAACTATGAAGAAACACGACGAAAGCTGTATATGATGAAGGAAGACAACAAGAGAGAAATTCACGTGCAAAAACAGTGGTGTAGCATGATGAGATGATGAACGATGATGAGCTCAATGAAGATGATGAAAATGATATCGATGATGAAGTGATGAAGCATCATGACATATGAATTAGCATGATGAATATGTCTTAAACAACTGGAGGAACATTGATGACATGTGGTGAAAGTGATGGACACGGAAGATGACCAAAACTTGTGAACATGATAAAATAAAATGACAGTGAAATGTTGCTTGCTTGCTGTTCTCGCTTCGCGCGCTGCTGTAGCAAAAAGCGAGAAACAGTGGGGGGGGACAAACGGAAACAACGTACGGAACACACCTCCGCTACCATGGAACCAGACAGGTTGTGGAAAGCAAGAGCGAACATAGGTAAGTACAAGCCTCTAGACCCCCAAGCTTGGCTGCCTCAACTCTCTCCGTAGCTTCTGCCAGGCTGCGGTGCTTATCCGCCACCTCGTTCGAGACAGCTGGCGGCTTCAGCTGCTCTATCGGCATCTCCTTCGCAGCTTGCAAGCAATGTCAGAGGTGCACAGTGACATCATGGAGTACCACAAGCCCTGCGTGGTGCTGAATGTGCTAACGAGACCAAACAGGATGTACGTCCTGTCACCTGTGTAAAGCTAGAAACACCTGATGCAGTCTGCAGATCACTTATTGAAGACTTTTTGGTGCGAAGTGGCTGCTGCCCGTCGTCGAGCGATAGCCTCGCCTAGCAAGCGGAGCGCCCAGCGGCGCAGGAGGCATGCATGCAGCGCACTTTGTTGTCATGGCGAAACGCGGGCACATCATGGCACTGGTCTTGTGCATGCATGCATTGCCCAAAACCTCTGAGTTCGTGACGTTTGTCCACGTACCGACCCCACATCTCCGAATCTTCAACGCGAACCACTCTTCTAACCTGATGCTTGCATAGCCTGCTTGCCTACGAGTCCATGTTGCATCATGTTGCTAGACTCATGTCTGCCACGCAGTTCTAATCCTAACTAGTGTCGAGCCCCACCTTGAAGCTCTGAGGCATGCCCGGGCTCGCGCCCGGTTGGACACATGGACACCCTGGCCAGAGAGAAACCACTCAAGCTGTAAAAGCTGTTCATTTTCGCTCCTGCCTGGACGCATGTACTGAACACCAGGAACATCAAGCCAGTAACCAGCCTCCAGGTGTCTTCGCACAGGTGCCTAGTGGGCACTTCCTTGGAACACAAAGTTGGATCCTGACGAAGGCAACTGAAGCCATGCAAGGCGTGTTTTCGCAGCTTTACTTCCTGGGTGTCATCCCAACGCGACGCCGCGACGCCACCTGCTGCAGCTGCCTCCTGCTCTTCTACTTCGTGGGTCTGCGGACGCGTTGGCGTGCGCGGCTGTTCTTCTTTGTACGCGGCAGCATGCACTCTTGATGTCTTGGCTCCTTCATCAGTCCCTGTTGCTGGCTCTCTCGCATCAACCCTGGGACAGACATCCCCTGCCCCACCGAGTCTCTTCTTCTTGTTCTTCTTCATGGGCTCTGCCTAGCCCTGGGTATACGCCAGGGCAATGGCCCGCAGTGTTGCAAACAACGAATGCCATGCGATGCAATGTGGTCTCCCTCTGTTCTCATCGATATGGCGATCTTCACCGGCTTCGTGCGACGATAATCAAAAGATGGCAAATACGATTTCTGCATGCAGGCTAGCTACCTGTCCTGCGTCGCCTTGGCACCTGAGCATTGGCTGCAACATGCGGCAAGCCCTGGCCCCTTCTCCTCTAAGTGTTTCATCCTATGCGGATGCTTTAAAAACAGGAAGTTCAGCTCAAGGACTGCCTTCGTCCATCAATCCATTGGAAGCAACCAATCCAGCTAACTGTCTGACCCTGCTGCCGGTTTTGCCAGCTGGCGATATGTCTCATTCAGAAGCTCATTAAACTTCTCGTGGTGCTGTCGATCCACGTAGATCCTCAGGATGTGTAGTCTCGGTACTATAGTAGGCGAATTCTGCAGGCCCATCAGCAATGCGAGGCTTCCAGCTGAAAACGCGTCCCAACAAAATCTCTTGTCGAGTTCTTTTGCAACATGTAGGTTTTGGCCATGCGTCATTTGATCGAATGAATCGTTGTCTGGAACTTTCACGTTCCTTGGTTCCACCACAAGCGCATAATGACCCAAGCTAAGCCTGGGAAAGCTTCGGTGCTCGAAACATAGAATGCCAAGAGGCGCCCAATAAGCTGGCCTGAACATCGCAGAATGTCAAGTCCCGAAAGCTTTACTGCGCATGGTCCAAATATGTAGAAATTTACAGGGGAGCATGAACACGTATTCAAACCGGTTGTCGCATGTTGTGCGAAAATGGCACAAACTCTGGTTGGGAAGCGGCTGCTGGCCCCCAATTGCAACCGCGCAGCAAGACGTGCGCCGCCACCTCGGCAGGCAGCTGCAGTGCTTGACGTTATGGTCAAGAAAATACCGCTTGCATGCAATTAGCAATTCCCACCGAACAGCACGGAACCATCCCCGGAAACTCACAAAGAAAATCATAAACTTGGTCCATTTGCTGCTCTCCCTGCCAGGCGGGCAGTCTCATCGATGATGGTTGGCCCTGTGGGCCCTGCTGCGATAGGATACTTCACCTTACAGCTCTCCGAACAATGCACGCGACATGTCTCCTCTCCGTTGGCCGAACAGTGAGATTAGCAGGGTGCCTTTGCGCAACCTTTTCCAGGCGTCCGGGAGCGGTCTGAATTTGCTTGGCTTTGCCGATTTTGAGAAGCTACTACCATGACACAGGCCGCAGGCCGCGAAGACCAAGGCTTCGTTCAAGACCCACAGAGAAACAGTAACAGAACATTGCAAATTCAACCCCCCAAAAGTTGGATCCTGTACGCGCCTGGAAGGTACCACCGTGCGGAACACCAGCTGGGACCTTGTTTGTCATGGCATGTCAAGGTGGACACGTGATAGCACGCGGTTGCTTGTTCTCATGTCGAGACGTTCAGTCTACACTGCGCCTTACACATTGCCCATGCCCGGTGCTACAATTTACTTTGGTTTTGCAAAAGCCGTAGATTTGTTCGTCAATGAAGTTCATCAAAGAGAAGCATTGCAGCGCATTGCAATCGCACACACAAAGACGTTGCTTGACTTGCAATGATGTCCAAGCGTCAGTGCACTGGATTTTTGTTCCATGGGGCGTCGTCATCTGTAACAGCTGACCCGGACGTGCCCCATAGGGTACCTCACAGGGCAACATGCAGCCGCAACTACCCCGCAACCACACAGAATGGTGTGAGAAGAGCTTATGTGAAACATCTTGGAGCCTACTCTGGTACTGTGAATAATGCCTGGTAAGACATGCGCATGCAAACAACAATTTGTCAAATGATGTGTTCGTTTCACTGCAGACCAGCCTGTACCATGACGGTGCCCATGGGCATCGCGCTTCCCATGGGGAGTCCCATGGGGGGCCCCTGATAGCATTGCAAGCGAACTGGACATTGAATCAAAGAAGGTTACCAACTGACAGGGCATGTGCTCTGTTGAGATCTTTGGCTCGAAAACCGAAACTGGCGTCTTGTGTGTGGAGCAATCTGTCCACCTGGTCTTGTGTGAGCTGGTTTCAAGCGTGTCTCGGCCTGTGTGCCATGAATCACCTGCGGCGGCCGCGGCACAGCACCAGGCGGCTGCACATAGGCAGTGGCAGTGCAGCCCATGGCGAACGGAAAGGTGCAAGACCGGAACGAGCATGCACAAATGTTCAGCGGCTTGCGTTGCAATGATTTTGTAGTTCTGCATCTGGCTTCCTGCTCCGTGGCGGGGCATGTCCATACACTAGATGCATTGCGGCCGAGTTTTGCGCGTAGAAGTCTGTCTTATTATTGTATGTGAACTTTCGATAACATTTGAACATGTCTTCGCTGAGTCTTTGGTCCTTTGAGAAGTTCGTTATAAAATTCAGCTTGATTCGGCAAACGGCATTGCATGAACAAACAACAGCCGAAATACTTGCTGTCGCTGAAACAAGTTTGACATTGTCGAAACCGAAAAATGAGGCAGGTTTCAGCCGGGAAGCCTGAAAACGAGTGAACATTCCAAACACATTCAAACACTGCACTTGTCCAAGGGAAACGTGGCCTTATACTTGTCACATGTATTCTCTGATGCCTGGAAAAACCGTCGTCAGATTTTTCATCTTTTTTTTTCTCGGCGGCGGCAACTTGTTTGCGCAATACGCATTCCGCACTCCTTCATCAGCCGTGTCTCCAATGATGAAGTACTGAGTCGAGCACAGAACAATGTTATTTTTAAATGTTGCAGTTAAGCAGATGATGTTGTTCAAACGTATAGCCGACCTGCCTCCTGGGGACATCATGAGAACATGTGTTTTTCGGGGGGATTCTTGGGAGCTGTTGCAACCTAATGGTTGTGGACGGCGTGGGCGCGCAAAGCAACGCTGGCCCACCGAGGTGTTTAAGCTAATTGTACAGATGGCCGGTGAGACAGCCTTGGACAGGTTTTGGGATCTGCCTGCACCGTTTTGGAAGGGTCGCATTTCAGATTTTTGTTTCGGCGCCTGACATCTGGTACCGATACATGCCCATGTGTCACCGTATAGGCGCGTCAATTTGACCAGATTTTGTCCTTCATTTTTTTTGCGAAACAAGGCAGGAGAAAATCTGGTCAAATTGACGCGGGTCATGTTCTCAAGAACCTAGGCGCGTCAACCAATGATTTGTTATCTTTCTTTTAATCATCCTTCTCTTTTTACCATCTTGACATGATTTTGATTGCCATTGTCATCTACCCGTGTCCCCTCCAGGGGTCAAAAGATCTTAGCAAGTCTTAACTTCTGAGGCTGGGCCCCCGGGGGGTTAAAAGATCTGAGCTTTCAGGGCTGGGCCCCTCCAGGGGTCAAAAGATCTTAGCAAGTCTTACCTTATAAGGCTGGGCCCCTCGAGGGGTCAAAAAATCTTAGCTGTCAAGGCTGGGCTCCTCCTTCATTTCGAGTTCCTGTGCGGAGCTTTCAGAACATCTTGCACGTCTGCTCTGTGCTTGAGAAGATCTGAGCGGTGCTTGACGAGATGCGGGCGGTGATGGATGCCACACACACACACACACACACACCCACCATCACCACTATCACCACCATCACCGCCACCATCACCACCACCACCACCACCATTGACATCACCAACATCACCACCATCACCAAACGGAAGGAGTTTCAGGAAAGCTGTTTTCAATTAATTCCAGGATGGAAATCGCCGCTTTCTCAGAGCCTCTTGAATTCACTAGGAAATTCATCCCGAAACCCCGAAAATCCGAAAAAATGTTCCGTTTTCAATTAACTCTAGTACAGAAATCGCCGTTTTCTGAGCCCCTAAAATCTCCCGATCTGCTTTCAATGCTGAGTGCTCCAGGGGGGGGAACGGTGCCTGTTCGATAAGCAACCTTCTTATTGTTTCTCAGTTCCAAAGGTGGCGGCTCAGCGCGGGGATGTTGTTTCCCTTTCCGACTTCTGGTCGTTTGGGGCAGATGATCAAGGTCGCGGTGCTGCGGTGGCTTCGGCGGCCTTGAGGGGTGACTTGGAGATGTTGAAGGGTATCTTCGAGCCAAACGACTGCACCATTTTTATTAGTCCTGGTGGGCGTGGAGGAGGCTAATCTGCCGGATGTTCTCGAACACTGGACTCTGCGTGAGTATGTGGAGCTGCCATTTTTTGCGTGCCGCGATAGGGCCAATCAGACGCCAAAATTTGCACTCCGTGTTGTTGTGGATGGATGGACAAGAATCGATGGAGGCCTTTGATTTTGCCTTTGGTCCCATGACAAAATATGACTTGGATGTTTTGCGCACTTTGACGCTGACAGGCAAGGTTTTCCAAGTGTTCCTTCCGTCTCCAGGAGTGGAAGAGCCAGTTGCGGCTGATCGATGGCTGTTACAACGGGCATAAAAACCTGGTGTCTGAACTTTTGAAGGTCGGCGCTCCAGATTGTGTTCACTTTCAGAACAGTCGGCATTGCTCACCATCCGCGTGTGTCCTCGTGGCCTTTGCGGGCTCTCTTGGAGGCTCGTGTTCTGTCGGGATTGGTCGCAGGCCGGCAGAAGGACAGTATTTTCGAGTGTCAGACATTGCTGAAACGGTGCGAACACCATTGCGTGTTGTCGGTTCACCATTCTGTCACTTTGTTTCGCCCAACGCAAGTGCAATCCCTGGAATGGCTACTTTGTGAAGAGTTCTGAAGGGGGTTCAGTTTGTCGATGCGCGACCCGGGATGGGGAGACGCGGCGGACTGAAACTTCCCACGAGGACTGGTTCGAGGTGCTCTTCTGGCGATGCGGTCTAACGATCGGGAGTTGTTTCCGTCGAGTGCTGGCTGGTTTGGGTTCGCCTGTACGTTCTCGACCAAAAAAAAACCTGCTGCTCCGTGCTCATAAGACGCGTGCCGGCATCCACACACACTGAGGAAACCACACCCCACAGACACACAGAGACACACTATATATTTTTTGTATATACCCAGCATGGCCAGTATGGCAATAAACCATATGCGAAATGTACACGTGATCATATACACATACATATACATATATACCAGCTATTTTTTACCAGCTGCAGCTGATGCCATCTTCGCGCTCGCGCAAAGTGCTCGTCGTTTCGCCGCGGAATGCCATCTGAAGAGTTTGCATTCTTTTACACATGTCTTCTTATATCGCCGGGCGGCGCTATCTAAACAGTATACCACTACACATCTGGGGTTCTCCGGTCCTCTAATTGATTTTTTGCAACCCCAATTCGCAAGAACAATTTGCAGAACTCGCGGACTTGTCAGACACCGCCCTTGATTAGAAAAATCCCGGCTCGCTAGAACTGCCCGTCGTGTTCAGAAATCATGGACCAAACTTTTTCCGGTCACATTACCCACCTGCAAAAGCGCAATGCAAGAAAGTATTGGTCCATGGAGATGCGTCCGAAACATTCCGAAGCGTGACAACCGGCTGACGTGACGCCCATTTTCACGACAGCCATTTCACCGGGAACTGTCATCGCGCTCAGTCCTTGCGTGTGCTGGGATGTGCATTTGGTGGACGCTTGTGGTGGCGCTTGTGTGGCGCCTTGTCGTGCTGCGCTTTCCGAGCCCCATCGGCCGTACGCGGCCCCACCCGAGCAGCCTGGGCTAGGCGCTGGTGGATGTGCTCTCCACGGCGGTTCAGCAGGCAATCAGCCTCACGGCTTTTGCTGCGCTGCGCTGATCGCGGCCGGCCCCAACACGGGACCGTGCAGCTGGCACCAACCTTTTTCGGCATTGCGGCAAGAAAAGGTGCTTGCAAACAAAATTGCTGGTTTCTGGGACCCGCACTGCCGGCTCGGCCATGTGCAGGATCTGGCGGCTGGCTCGCGCATGTGGGCGCGGGCCACGCGTTGCCGAGCGCCGTGCTGGCGACAGCTTGTTGCACGGCCACACCCAATTGTGACCACGGGGGCAAGAGGCGTGGAGCGCCTGCGTTCCAGCGGCTTCCCACCTCAGCGCCCAGGACCACAAGCTGCTGCGGGCCACCCGCGCTGAGTTCCGGGTGCGCCGCCCGGCTGCCAACCCCAAAACCTCCAGATTAGAAATGCGGTTCACGTACCCGTGCGGGATGGCCAGGAGGTGCCGTTGGGCAACTTCTTGGCGGGCGTCATGCCCCCGCCGACAGCCGTCTGCATTGCTGAATTGGCTAGCCGCGACTCGATATTTGCACTAGTCGGGCCCTCCACATTCCACCTGCCACCTTGGAAGTTGTGGTCGCGAAAAAAAGGTCGACCACTATGTTTACGACACCCCATGCCCCGCGAAGCATGCCAGGCGACCCTTGTAGTTTTCGGAACAGGGCGGCCGGTCTGTCATGCAAGGGCGCCGTCATGTCGAAATGATTCCGCGAAACAATTCCGACTTTCCCAGGTCTTTCTTGGCATTTTCTCGGCGCGCGCCTCTTGAGTCACTCTGCTTGGGTAATTACGTGCGCATCTGGACCCTCGGCATGGTGAGCCGCACCCCTGCAAATCTCTGCAGTACAGTGAATTCACAAGCCGGAAGCCCACGCAAGGGAGCAAGCGCCCACGAACAGCCAAGTTCTGGGAGCCGCGTCGGGTCGGGATGAATGCCACGCAAGCCGAATCCTTCCTCCGCATGCTCGCGCGCATGCGGGCGGCGCCTGCACCTCTTGCGCTTTGCCCCGCTGCGCGCAACGCATGGGTTCAGCGTTGGGGCGGTAATTTTTTTTCTTCGGACCTTTATGCCTGCATGGCTGGCCTGGTCCAGTGTTGCGCAGCTACACCTACGTTCTACCCTTGCCAGACCTTGCCGCTACCGCGGCGGCTGGCTCGCGCATGTGGGCGCGGGCCAAGCGTTGCCGAACGCCGTGCTGGCGACGGTTTGTTGCATGGCCACAGCCAATTGTGACCACCACCTTGCACAAGCCGACGCTGCTGCGTTGAGTTCGCATGCGGACAAGGTCGCGCAAAGAAGGCGCAGAGCGCCTTCGTTCCAGCGGCCTCCGACATCAGCGCCGAAAGCAGTCGCAGCCGCGCAGGGCTGCGGCTGCCCCGTGCGTGTACGTGGGGATACCAGGGTGGCATGCAGCAGAGTGCGCTTCCCAGCGGCGTGGCGTAACATTTCCGTGGCTGCGCAGGGAGCGCTTGCCGCGTCGGTCCTCGAGCTGCCCGGCGAAGCCCATGTCAGTGCTGCCGGACCTGAGCCGGCTTTGCGCGAACTCCTCGCGGATGCCCGTTGGCTCAAGGGCCCGGCCGCGAGTCGCATGCCCCGCCGGGCGTGAGCGTCTGCTCGGCGTGGCATTCCCTGCCGCGCTGCGCCACTGCACAGAGACCTTGGGAGCAGCTGCGGTAAAAAGGTGCGAGGGGGGGGAAAAAAAACCATGTGGTGCCCGATCATCTTGTTGCAACTATTCAACCATCTGTTGGTGTCAAGGGAAATCAACTTGGCGCAAAACATTATTCCGCATGCTGGCGAAGACGGCAAGGGCCAAACTTGCAACTGATTTTCGACCACATGTTATAGAAAAACGTTCTCATATTTGGTTTTGGCACGGATTGAACCCAAGTTGGACTCCGCAAAGCCTGAGGAGCAGCATGGGTTCAGACCAAAACATCGTTTGGACGAGCATTTGTTATCCACGAGTGACGTCAAAATCATCATGCTGTTGGAGGGAATCCATGCGCGACAAGTCATGCGATGCAGGCAATTGAAAACTTGCAACGGACAAGGAGTGGCTGGCCAGGCGAAGGGAGTCCAGGGCAAGTAATAGCGAGTCGCTGCCCGCCAAGAATGCCGACAGGCGTTCAGCAAAGGCGGGCTCACGGCGTGCCAAAAGCTGGAGGCAGTTTGTCCAAAAAACCCAATACGCAGCCGACGCGTGCCGGACGGCACTGCGGAGACCCTGGCCGCCGTGCCGTAGCGCAAGCTGAGCCTTGGCAGCAGCGAGAGGTGGCAGGGAGTCACAGTCGGCACCTGGCGACTGCACCGCTGCGCCCCATGAGGTTGCAACTCAACGCACGCTTCACCCAGCTTGTTTAATTCATATGTGCTCCCGTGTATGCTCTACGGCTGTCAATTTCTCAGCCATTGCCTTTTTGTGGGGCCGCCCGCCTTCTGCAGTGGCCCTCCGGGGCTAGCTTGTTTGGACGCTTAAGCTCTGCGAGCCCTGCTGGCACTGATAGGGGTCTTGCTGCACGAATCTTTCGCCACGATTTATACCAGCGTGTCTTTCAGGCCTGCAAAATCGCTGATAACATGCGGGACTGTGGCGTCCAGGCGCCGCACATGTGGGGAGTGTCTCCGGGTTGCAGCGTGAGCACTGTGTCCGCCTGGAGACTTCGCTGCATGTGCGCTGCGTTGGATCGGCATGCTGCTGTTGCCCGTCGTGCTGAAGTCGCGGCCGTGCCATCGTGCCATCGCTTTCTCTTTTCGCTGTGTGCCACCCCAAGTTGAACTTTTGTCCATCAATCCATTGCTCTCGTGTGTCCACCTGGACACGAGCTCGATGTGGTCATCACCCATTCCTTGATGGACGTTCAGCCCGTCACAGGTCTCTAGTCCGGTCATGTGTATGTGGCGCTGCTGCATGGAGTTTCGCGCACGCTCTGCGCGCATGCCCCCTCTTTGAGCCGCGGCGACGGGCATGGACACACCGTTACCACGCGTCTGGGTTGAGAACTGTTGACCAGCTGCCTGATGAAATGTTTTTGCATTTGCTTCTCTTTGCAACACCCGTGCAACACTGTAGCCTCGATGTCAGCCCATATGAGCCATGGTTTTTATTCCTATATAATTTCACCACCATATCAATGCCCTTCCGCGGCGGCCTTCCGCGGACCTTCCGC